TCGATTGCTTTCACGGTTTGTTGATTTATGTGGATATAAACAACTTTTACTATCTAAGATTTGTATTCTGTATCACATGCTGTGTTACACCAAACTATATCTGTGTTTGATATTTTTATGCCTGATCTAGAACATTCTGTAATGATTTTTTTTTAAAGATTTTATTTATTTATTTATTTATTTATTTATTTGTCAGCGAGAGAGAGAGAAGAGCACAAGCAGGGGGAGCAGCAGAGAGAGAGGGAGAAGCAGACTCCCTGCTGAGCAGGGAGCCCGATGCGGGACTCGATCCCAGGACCCCGGGATCATGACCTGAGCCGAAGGCAGACCCTTAACCGACTGAGCCACCCAGGCGTCCCTCTGTAATGATTTTAATTCCTTTTTTTTTTAAAATGTGAAATACACATAATGTAAAATACCCTAACCATTAAGGCTGTGTATGGGGGTGGCCTCCATAAAGGCTGAGTGATTGGATGGGGCGGGGGCATCAGGGGCCTTGGTGTACTGGAACCTCCTCCTTGGGGCAGGTGGCAGGACAGGGCGCCCCGGGCGGGGGGTCCGTGGCATCTCGGGCTCTGCTGTGTGGGAGAGGTCAGGGGCAGGAGCTTGGCGCCCGGCAGATGTCCAGGACGTCTTTTGTGATCTGCCACACTGCTGTCATTTGTTGAAGTTCACCCAGAGCCTGGAAGGCAGGTGCTGTGTTGCTCTCCACCTCACGGATCAGGAAACTGAGGCCCGGAAAGGGGAAGTCACCTGCCAAGGGTCACACACAGGTCAAGGATGGTCCTGGGATCGAGCCAGGTCTGACGGGGAAGGCTGAGCCCTTCCTTTTCAGTCCTTTAAACTCTAAAAAAAAAAATTAAACTTTTTTATATTAGGGACTTCATGCATGCTCCATGCATGGAGCTAGTAATAATAAATAAAAGAAAAAGATCCTTCCCCCACCTGCTTTCCACCACACATGACGCCTGACTTGCTGGGAGTGTTTGTCCCAGAGTGTGATTTGGTCTGCAGGGGCCAAGGGGGACTTTTCTAAGGGAGACACCGAAGCCGAGAATGAAAGGGTGGGTGGGAGTCAGCAGGGTAGGGAGGAGAAGAGCAGGCTGAACAGAAGGCGTGCTGAGTGAAGGCCCTGAGCCAGGGCAAGACGTAACCTTCCCCAGCCTCAGTTTTCCCATCTGTAAAATGGGCATAATCGTCCTTGCCTCCTGGGCTCAGTGGGACCCTGGGGTGAAATTGTGCCTGGAGAGAACATAGCCATTTGCCTGGCCCTCAGTAGCCCCCAGGGGTAGTTGTTACACAGAAGAAAATACTTGTGGTAGACCCCCTCAAGCTCATGGGGTTCCCAGAGGCCATCTAGTTCAGCGGTTTTCAGCTGGAGTGGTTCCACTCCCAGGGGATATTTGGCCCTGTCTGGAGACCCTTTTGGTTGTCCTAACTTGGGGGTGGTTGCCACGGACATCGAGCAGATGGAGGCCAGGGACGCGGGACAGGCCCCCCTCCAAGGATCATCCAACCCCAAATGTCAGAGGTGCTGGGATGGGGAAACCCTGACCCCTGGAGCTGGTCTGAGTCACTTATTTTACCAGCAGGGAAACTGAGGGGCATTGCAGGGAAGGGGTCCCTCAGGGTCCCTCTCTCAGCGAGATAGGACGGCGACAGGCTTGGTGCGCAGGGCCTGGGCTCCTGGAGCAGCTTTCCTGGTGGCTGCGCATCTGAAGGAGAGCGGGAGGGACCCGGTCCTGTTGGAACCTGAGGCCTGGGCCCTGGATGGGGGACGGAGTCACTCCGTCATCCTGGGGACAGGAGTCCTGGACATGAACTTCCTTATGAGGCAGCAGCCCCCCGCCGGCAGTGGGGAGGGGGCGTGTACCTGGTGCGGGGTGTCCCGGCTCAGCCAGCCACGGGAGGTTGGGCTGCACCTCAGGACTGGACCGTTTTGTCAAGTCCTGGCCTCAGAGCTGTGACAACTCACAGGGTGAGTTAGGGCTCTGGGGTAACTGGGGTGTCTGGGACAGCTCCCCCGTCTCTGCTCCGGTGAGGCAGGGTGCCTCCACCTTCTGATGATGAACAGCGGGGTGGCACAGCATTTGGGGAGCACGGCCTCACCATGCATTCATGCGGCCATGTTTCCGCCTGGCTGAAGGAGGGGCGGGTGACATGGGAACCCGGGAGGCCCGAGACCCGGGTCCGAGCCCTGATCCTGCTGCTAACTTGCTTTGTGACCTTGAGCCAGCCTCTCGGCCTCTCTGGGCCCTCAGTTCCCTGTCACGGAGGGGTGGAGGGCCATCAGTGGGTCTCTAGCCATCTGAAGGAAGCTCTCAGGTTTTGGCCAGGGTCCTCGGGGCTCAGGAAGAAGACACTGGATGCCTGGGCCCTCACTCTGTCTGTCCCTGTCTGTCAGTTTGTATGCTGATCCGTCCATCCATCCATCCATCTCCCTGGACAGACATTTACTGAGCCCACATTGTACACCAGGGCCTGTGCCGGGCATGGGGCACTGCAGCGTCAGGGAGGTTACAGTCGGATGGGGACACAGCCTGGAGACAGACAGGGTACGGTGTGCTGGGGTCTTCCGAGGGGTGAGGGAGCAGAGGAGCCTGTGAGGCTCTGGGGGGCCTGGCCAGCATTCGTGGAAGAAGTGACAGCTAAGCTGGGACTTGGTAATGGTAGGTGAGTGGATTAGCCCAATGAAGAGAAGGAAGATGTATGTTTTGCAGGCGGAGGGACCTGCAGGTACCAAGGCCTGGAGGCTGGAGATCGTATGGCAAGTTCTAGAAGGTGTGATTGGGTGTGGATTATGGAAGTGCCTGGCAAGAGGAGGCTGGGCCATGGGACTGGTGCAGCCTCTAATTGGTATTGCCTCCTGGGGGTGGGCTTCCTGGGGCCCTGCCGTGACAGCCTCTGCAGGGGTAACCGGACAGACCCCCTCCCCGAAGTCTCCCCACTGAGGCTGGCCTCCCTGCGCCCCACCAGCCCCCAATTACCACAGGGCCCCCACTGTGGGCCCAGGCAGCTGCTCTCCGAGCTGAGGACTCCTGCTGCCGAGCCAGCCGCCTTCCCCTCCAAGAGCCGCCCTCTGGGAGCCACCCGCAGGGACACTCCGAAGAGGCTTTTGTCTTCTCTTTATTGTTTTTAACAGTCTCTGTGGATCACTTAGGTAACATACATCCATTGTGGGAAATGAGAAGCTCTGGGGGAGGCCCCCACCCCGGCATCCAGAGTGATCTGGGGACAACAGAGCCTGTCCCCACGTGGACCATCAAGTCCTGGCACCAGGCTCGTCCCCTCCTCCTGCCCAGGGACCTGTCTTGGCCAGGGAGCCTGGGGCCATGGACCAGGTCTTGTCCCTGCAATGCTCCTTCTCCCTGGCCGTGTGTCCTGCCCAGGTATGAAGTTTGGAGCCCAGAGCACCCCGCTGGGAAGGAGAATTTAGAGGAGGGACCTGCACTGGGCTGGGTCCCTTCCTGGTACCAGTGTTTGGAAGGGCACCCGACCTCTTGCCTCATCTCTGAACCCCGGCATCACTGAACCCACCTCACAGGGCAGGCGTGACTCACAAGGAGCAGCCATGAGGGCTGAGCTCCGTGCCCGGGGCACAGAGCTGTTGCCGAAGGTCCAGGCGGAGGGTGAGTTGGGGCAGCCATCTGGTTACTGAGCGGGGAGCTGGCCTCCCTGGACCTCTTCTCCGCATGCCCCTTCTATGACTGGACCCTGGCCACAGTGCCACCTCCCAGGGCCAAGCATGGGGTGCCCGGAATCCCCTCCCTGGACACGAGGGTCTCCATTAGAACAGAACAACGGGGCAGGTGAGTCTCGGTGACCCCATGTCTCTGAGCATCTGGGCTCTTCAGTGTCTGCCTTCGACCCCCGCCTCAGCTCCGGTCTGGGTTTCGAGGATGAGCAAGTCCCCCTCCTGAGCCTCAGTCTCCTCATCCTTCAAATGGGCTTCACTGTAGACTTGCTCACCAGCCGCCGTGGGCGGTCCAGGGGAATGGGTTTGCAGCGAGGGGCCCCGAGAGCTAGGGGCTGGGAGCAGACAATGGCTGATCCCTCGCTAGCTTCCCTCTATGCTGGGAATCCCCCTCCTCCAGTTGGGTTGCTAAGCTACACACAAGAGCCAACTCATGAAATGCTTTACAACAACTCATCTGAGTTCATAATACTAAAGATCATGCTGTTGGTGATCTTTTTATGCCCGGGCCTGGGGTAAGTATGTTAACCTCATCATCTCATCTGATCCCAACAAGATCGCTCTGAGAGCTGTCGCCTTTTATGAATGAGGGGATTGAGGCTCAGAGAGGGGAAGGCACTTGCCCAAGGTTGCACAGCCAGCAAGGGGCAAAGCTGGGATTTGGAGTATAAAGACATGTCGCCATCAGCGGGCATCTGCAGGATCCTGCGCTGGGCACTGGGAATACCGGGTGGACAAGTCCAGTCGGAATAAACCAGGGTGCCCTCTGAGCTCGCTGCCCGGCTCCCGTGTCCGTCAGTGCAGATCCCTGCGAACAGAGGTGGGGGAGAGGGGTGTGCATATTGTAGGGTGCAGGCATGTGGGAGGAGCCAGCTGCCGGCCCCATATGGTGGCTCTGCCCACTCTGTGGTGCCAGGAAGGGCTCAGTGGGGGAGGCGGGAGTGCCTGGTGTAAGAGCGCCGCTTTGGGGAGCTGGTTCGTGTGAGTTTTGTTTTAGCCCCGCCGCGTGGGGGGCAGGGCTGGGGGGCCAAGTGCTCTATGCACAGTGTTCATTCTCATGGCGTCTCGTATTCCCCCTTGGACGGATGAGGCTCGGAGAGATGCAGTCACCTATCCCAGACTGCCCAGCTAGCCGGAGGCAGAGCTGGGATGAGCCCCCGCTAGGACGTCCAGCCCGCCACCCCCATGGGGCACCGTCTCTTTTGAACCAGGATTCACAGCCTCCCGGGGCACTGGGCAGGGGCTGCGGACGGGTCGGTGATGTCGGCGCCTCCTTACCCTCTCTCGTCGGGTCTGCTGCCTCCAGGTACAAAGGCTTCATCAAAGACTGCCCCAGCGGGCAGCTGGATGCTGCAGGCTTCCAGAAAATCTATAAGCAGTTCTTCCCATTTGGAGATCCTACCAAGTTCGCCACGTTTGTTTTCAACGTCTTTGACGAAAACAAGGTGAGCTGGGGGTTGGCGGGGCCTGCGCCCGGCCCAGAGTGCCCTCCCTCCTGCAGGTGCCCGCGGCATCTCCGCACGCATGCTCTCCTGCCGGTGATCCCTTCTGGAGAAGGAACACACACACACATACACACACACACACCCATTTTGCAGATGGGGAAACTGAGGCTCTGAGCAGCATACAATATGGGATCTTTTGTGCCTGGCTTCTTTCACTGAGCATCACGTTTTCAAGGCTCATCTGTGTTGTCGCATGTGACCCCTCCTGGGGATGGCCGTGCTGACAGTTGGCAGATCCACTGTCAGGGCGCCCATAGTCCTTAGCACTCTGTCCCATGCCTGCATTTTTCCAGGCTTCCTCATGTTCACGGTGGATTTACTGTAACTTGTTTTAACGCTCTGTACTGTTGGGCACTTGGAATGTTTCTGTGCTGTCACTCTCTGGCTTTCTCCCCACGTGTCCTCAGGCTGACAGTCACACTGCCTAGCCCTGGGAAGAGCTCTGCCCTCTCCAGGCCTCAGTTTCCCTATTTGCAAAACAGACAGGTGGGATTAAATAGTCTAGAGCCCTGCCCTCAGAAGCCTGGAAGCCTGTGGTTCTAGGCCAAGGGAAAAGGGGATCTCCAGGAGGCCCTTGCCCAGAGAGGGTGTGTGTTGGTGGTGCCTTCTGGCTCTTTCTCCCATCAGATGTGGAGTTGGTCTCTGCCTTTAGCCTCACTCCTTCTTCTGTCCCCCTGCCTGGCCGGACCCATCTGTAATCCTGCCTCCCACCCCATCCCTTGTCCCTTCTCCCACCCTCTCCACTTGGGCGTCCATCCATCAGCCGTGGGTATCTGGTGCCTGCCACCACCCATCATGCACCCAAGGCCCAGCCTGACCAGAGACCCGGTACTGACTGAGGCCACCCTGCCCCTGTCTCCTGTCAGGACGGGCGGATCGAGTTCTCTGAGTTCATCCAGGCGCTGTCGGTGACCTCAAGGGGGACCCTGGATGAGAAGCTTCGGTGTAAGTCCTGTCCCTGGGTTCTGCCAGGCAGCCCCTGGCTGGGCCCAGGCTGGAGGGAGCCCAGATAACCGGGCCAGGTTGTGGGTCCAGGGCTGAGAGATGACCCAGATGTCCGGCCTTTCCAGGTCTCAGGAGCTTCCCTGGGGGTGGCCGTGTAGGAGGAACACAGCTTACCGAGGCAGGGTGGACAGATGGGGTGGTCAGTGGGTATAGACGTGGACCATGGGTGGTGCAGCCTTGCGTTAAAAGACCCGGTTCCAGTGCTGGCTGCACCTCTTGGGAGGCCGCTGTTGTGATGTCTGGTCTCATTCACCGAGCAGATATCCACAGGACGCGGCCACAGCGCGCCCTGGCCCGGAGGCTGGGAAGCCGCGGGAGAATCAGATAGACAGGCGCCCGCTGTCATGGCTGTCAGTCTAGCACGGGGACATGATCTTGAAAAATCCCATAAAACTGCAGCCGAGGCGGGAAAGGGGTGGGTGAGCAGGCAGGAGAGCACCTGGCTCTGTGAAGGGTCAGGAGCTGGCCCTGCGGGAGGCGGGAACAGCATGTGCGAGGCCCTAGGGCGGAGCGGGCAGGGGCAAAAGGACGTCTGGAGAGAGGGTGGAAGCAGTTGAACCAGAATTCACCGCTTTCTTGGGCCTTTACGTTGCATTGCACTGGCAACAAGAAAACGGTGCAGTTTCTTTTTCTTTCTTTCTTTTTAGGAATAAAGGAGGATTTTATTCATGTAAAAGCTACCCCCCCACCCCCATCCCAGGCATATTATTTTATTTTCTAAGTTGACCGTAGCAGGAAGCTGCGTGATTGTGGGAGGGGAGGGGGTGGAGAGGAGGCGGAGACTGGGGAGGGCGGGGGCGGGGGGAGGGAGGCCATTAGGGGTTCAACCCCAGCCCCTGCTTTACAGACCCAGAGCCCCCTTCTTTTTACTTTTAGTTTCTTTTTTTTTAACCCTACTTGAAATGGTCCCTGTGTCAGGCGCCTGGGTGGCTCAGTTGGTTAAGCGACTGCCTTCAGCTCAGGTCATGATCCTGGAGTCCCGGGATCGAGTCCCACATCGGGCTTCCTGCTCAGCAGGGAGTCTGCTTCTTCCTCTGACCCTCTTCCCTCTCGTGCTTTCTATCTCTCATTCTCTCTCTCTCTCTCAAATAAATAAATAAAATCTTAAAAAAAAAAAAAAAAGAAAAGAAATGGTCCCTGCGTCAATGTGTGTGTGTGTTTGTCTTTGTACATCCCTGTTTGTCCTGATGTGAGTCCTCTGCGGATGAGTAGTGGGACTCCCCCACCACCCCGCAGGCTGGGGTGGGGTGGGGTCGGAGGGGCGTGGCAGAGCCTGCCGGACCCCGCCTTGCGCTGGGGCTGACTCCGCCCCGCCGCTTGATCACAGGGGCCTTCAAGCTCTACGACCTGGATAACGACGGCTACATCACCAGGAACGAGATGCTGGACATCGTGGATGCCATTTACCAGATGGTGGTGAGGCCTGGGCCCTCTGGGGTAGGAGAGGCAGGAGGGGCATCACGCATGGGGACAGGGCCTGGTCGGCCCCGAGGGAGCCCGCTCGCGTAGCCGCTCTCCCGCCCGGGCTGAGAGTTGGCCAGGGGAGGGGTCACTGTGCGCATCTGCGAGGTGGGCGGAGGCTGCGGCGGCAGAGTGTTCCAGAGCAGGAGGCAGAGAGGGCGGGGGTGGGGGGGGGTGGGGAGTGGGAGGAAGAGCAGTCCACATCTGGAACCCGCCCAGATCCGGGGGGCAGACTTTTGGCCAGGACCCCAAAGCTGGAGTGCCAGGAGCCTAGCACCCACCTTGTCTCTCTTTGGCAGGGGAACACCGTGGAGCTCCCCGAGGAGGAAAACACCCCCGAGAAGAGGGTGGACCGGATCTTCGCCATGATGGACAAGGTGAGCCCGGGTGAGGCTGGTCCTTGACCATGGAGGTAAGGCGTGGGGGCCAGGCCCTGGGCCCCAGTGGGTGGGCCGTGCAGACCCTCGGCGATGCATAGATGTTCAGTGCAGGTCAGCAGCCATCCCTGTCAGACGTCCAGAGCTTTAAGTAAGTTTAGCCAACACTTCTTCTTTCCCCAGCTAAATTCTTTTTTTTTTTTTTTTTGAGATTTTATTTATTCATTTGAGACGCAGAGATACAAAGAGGGAGAGAGCAGGGGCGCCTGGGTGGCTCAGTTGTTAAGCGTCTGCCTTCTGCTCAGGTCATGATCCCAGGGTCCTGGGATCTCCTGGGATTGAGCCCCACATCGGGCTCCCTGCTCGGCGGGAAGCCTGCTTCTCCCTCTCCTGCTCCCCCTGCTTGTGTTCCCTCTCTCGCTGTGTCTCTCTCTGTCAAATAAATAAATAAAATCTTAAAAAAAAAAAAACAAAAAACAGAGAGCATGAGCAGGGGGAAAGGCAGAGGGAGAGGGAGAAGCAGGCTCTCCGCTGAGCCAGGAGCCCGACATGGGGCTTGATCCCAGGACCCTGGGACCATGACCTGAGCAGAAGGCAGACGCTTAACCATCTGAGCCACCCAGGCGTCCCTCCCCAGCTAAATTCTTAACCATTTTTACTTCTTGACCTGGACTCCTTTGACATACTGGAGAAGTCTCTGGGCGTCTCAGAATAACGGTTTTCAGTGCGTCAAATCAAATCCGTAGGATCAAAAAGGAAGCTAATGATTTTGGAATACAGACATCAAAATATTTTTTAAAAAGAATTCGTGATAGAGCATTCTGTGAGCTTCTTTATGAATGCATTAAATAAGGAGGTGTAGTGGTGGGTGTCACCACCCCCCAGTTTCAAAGCGGTGACAGACGTACATGATGCCCGCACGTCATTGCCTATGACCCCCACGGTTGACACAGGTCCCAGGTGCGGCTGGTTCTCTTGGGCATTGTCACCTACCATCATTGTGGATGGAAAAGCTAAATTTCAGTTAGAAGTTAGCAAATAGAAAGACCTCTTTTTTTCCCATCTAAGTTTACAGACCTGCTGCATTCTAGCCATAGACCCCAGGTTAAGAAATCCTTGTTTGGCTCTTCCCCTAAGCGGCCTGAGGTGACCTCTGAAAATGGTTTGCTATTCGCTTGACCCAGAAAACCCTACGAAATCATGTAAATCAAGAAGTTCGAATCTTCGTGTTCACTTTAAGAACACACGTGAAACTGCTCAGGCCATCAAGGGTATGCATATCCGAAAAGCCACCAAGTATCTGAAAGACGTCACTTTACAGAAGCAGTGTGTGCCATTCCGTCGCTACAATGGTGGAGTTGGTAGGTGTGCCCAGGCCAAACAGTGGGGCTGGACACAGAGTCGGTGGCCCAAGAAGAGTGCTCAATTTTTACTGCACGTGCTTAAAAATGCAGAGAGTGATGCTGAACTTAAGGGTTTAGATGTTGATTCTCTGGTCATTGAGCACATCCAGGTGAACAAAGCCCCCAAGATGCGGCGTAGAACGTACAGGGCTCATGGTCGGATTAACCCATACATGAGCTCTCCCTGCCACATTGAGATGATCCTTACTGAAAAAGAGCAGATTGTTCCTAAACCAGAGGAGGAGGTTGTACAGAAGAAAAAGATATCCCAGAAGAAGCAAAAACTTAGGGCCCAGGAGTAAATTCTGCAGAATGAATGCAAATAAAAATAAAAAGAGAGAAAAAAAAAAGAGTATCAAACTTTTTTTTTAAAGTGAAATAAGTTTGTATTTATTGGAAATTTGATATGGTGATGGTAGGGCAACCCAGTATCACTTGCCTTGAATCAAAGAACACAAATTACAGTGACAGTGGCCTTTTTTTTTTTTTTAATTTTTATTTATTTATTTGACAGAGAATGAGAGAGAGAGCACAAGCAGGGGGAGCGGGAGAGGGAGAAGCATGCCTCCTGCTGAGCAGGACCCCAGGATCATGACCTGAGCCAAAGGCAGACGCTTAACTGGCTGAGCCACCCAGGCGCTCCTGACAGTGGGCTAATTATTAGTATGTCCTGGCTGGATCCAGGTGCTTGCCCTGAAAGCTTAGAGCCTGAGATCAGCACATGTCAGAGAGGCAGGGAAGACCTCTAGGTTCAGACTGCGCTGGTCTCTTGGCGTTGATCAAAAGATGCATCCACAGCGTGTGGAGCGAGGGATACTGACTTTGTCACAGGGCGGTTCGATGCTGTTTAATGCCAAGGCCACACACTCCTTAAATCTCCCCAACTCATACGTCCCTTATTTAGGGAAACAGAGCCCACCACCCACCCAGACTGGTGTAAATTCTACCTTCCCCAGTGACTAGCCATGGGGCCCTGGGGAGGTGACCAAGCCTCAGTTTCCTTACCAGCAAAATGGGGATAAGAGCAGTGCCTCTTTTTAGGGCGGCCGTGAGGAGCCCCTGAGACCAAGCATGAGACGCGTGGCATCTTCAGGGCCCGCAGTGAGCCATCTCTCCGGGCCTTTCCTGGGTTTCCCTGAGAGATGCTCCAGAGGCAGGGATTCTGGCCCAAATCACCACTACCCCGAGAGACCCACTCAAGCCCTTTTTCTTGAGCTCCGCTGGGTCTCCTGGCGTCTGGTGTAGGCTGCTCCGGGAGTGGTTTAAATGCCCTTGCAAGAGTGACCCCACAGAAATGCAGTGGGCTCTCAGCCCTTGGGGATTAACCACCATTTATGGGAATTGATTGCAGTGATAATGGTAAGTATGGAGTTAGGGGTCCAGGGTCACGTACCCAAGGTCGCCTTGCCAGGAAGTGCCCGGGTCTCTCTTGACCCCTGATTCCTCCTACCTAGCGAGGTGCACTGCCTCCTTCCTGACCTAAATTTGGAACCTCTCTCTGGGCCAGTCCTGGGATGGGCTTGGGGAGCAGGTGTCCAGGGTCCAGGCCAGAGGCCCCTATCTGCAGAGGCTTGTTGTCTCCCCACCTTCAGCCACCTCTCTGCTTGCAGAACGCCGACGGGAAGCTGACCCTGCAGGAATTCCAGGAAGGATCAAAGGCAGACCCCTCCATCGTGCAGGCGCTGTCCCTCTATGACGGGCTGGTATAGTCCACGGCCCAGAGCCGGGGTGAGTGGAGGGGAACCTGGGGCTTGGGTTGGGGACGGCGGGGGGAGCCAGTCAGAGGGCACCTAGGATTCGCTGGGTCTCTTGGCAGTCCTTGGGGTCTGCCCAGCTGGAGACGAGCTGGTAGGAGGGCCTGGAGGTAGGCTTCAAATCAGCTACAAGCCTTTCTCTTTTTGTCATTTTTATATGCCCAGATTCGGCCCGAGAGTTTGCGTAAATAGAAGTTTCCCTGGATTGGAAACGCTTTGAAAAGCACAGTTGTTGGGGGACGGGGAGAGCAAGGGCTGTGCACGCCCTCCAGGTGTGGCCCGTGGAAGCCCTGGGTGAGCCCTCTGGCTCCCTTGTTCAGTAGCTCAGATATGGTTTCTCGTTTCCTCCAGTCAGGTTTGCTGGAAGTGCTGAGCCATAGCGCTAGAGAGGCCGGGAGAGGACGGCCTCCGTTTTCCTTCCCGATTCTCCCCTACCTCTTTTTTCTGCCTCCTCTCTATTCTGTCCTCCGTGTTGTGTGCGAGGAATGGGGGTGTTGCCCCCCCCAAGGTCATTCTTGAACATGCCTTCTGGTGGATGGATGATGCGTTCCCTTGGTGTGTATCTGAGGAGGATCGTGGGACCCAGGATGTGTGTGTGTTCGGCTTCACTGGAGGCCACTCGAGTCTTCCCATGTGGCTCCCCCCGAGTTTTAGACCCCACCAGCACTGCCTCAGAGTTCCAGTTGCTCTACAAGCTGGCCAACACTGGGTATTCTCTGTCTTTTACATTTTACACATTTCGGTGGGTGTGTCGTGACGGGGTATAATTTTAATTTGCCTTTCTCCAGTGAGCACGGACGTCAGGTCGCTGGTCATATGTACGGCATCCTTTTGGGAAGTGCCGTCTTAGTTATCTATTGCTGAATGCTCGGTTACCTCAAAACTGCCGCTGAAAAGAACAGACATCAGGAATTTGGGCACAGCTTAGCTGGGGGCCTTTGGCTTGAGGTCTCTCATGAGGATGTAGTCAAGCTGTCAGCAAGGTTGACCAGCCATCCCCGTTTGCCCAGGACTGTCCCAGATTTTGCACGGAAAGTCTCAAGTTCTAGGAAACTCCTCAGCCTCAGGTAACCTGGATAACCCTCAGGTGCTGGCCAGGGCCGTGGTGTCATCTGCCGGTTTGGTGGGGGAACACCCACTTCCCAGCTCACTCATTTGGATCGGCAGCCTCGGTCCTCACTGCACAGGGCTGCTGGCTTCCGTCAGGGGGAGCTTCCCAGGAGGGAGGGAGAGCAAGAACCTGAGATGCAGGCGTCCATCTTCTCATAACCTTATCTTGGAAGTGACACCTCATCACTTTTTTTTCAGGAGTGCCTTGGCTGTGTTAGGCTATGTGCATTTCTGTATAGATTTTAGAATGAATGTGTCCATTTCTCTAGACACACATGCACACATTGAGATTTTGATTGGGATTGAGTTGAATCTACAGTTCGGTTTGGGGGAGAACTGGCATCTTTGTTGTGTGGAGTGTTCCAATCCATGAAAACGGTATATCCATTCATTTAGGTCTTTCAAATTTTTCCTCTAGGACATTTTATTGATTTCAGCTAAAAAGTCTTTCACATCTTATGATAGATTTATTCCTGGATATTCAGGTTTGTTTTTTTTAAAATTGTATTTCCTGTTTATTTCTGGTTTCTAGAAATTCAGTTGGTTTTTGTTTATTGATGATATATCTAATGGTCCTGCTAACGTCACTTATCAAATCTAAGGATCTACCTTCAATTCTTTGTGACTGTCTATGCTTTATTTCTTCCTCTCCTGTCCTTCCGCCATCTGTTTCTTTGTCTTGCTTCCTTGCACTGGGTGGGCCCTCCAGTGCAGTGTCACTTAGGAGTAGCGATGGTGAGCATTTTTGTCTCACTCTTGGTCTGGGGGGCAGCTTTCAATAATTCACTATTAGTGGGAAGCCCGGGTGGCTCAGCCGGTTGAGCGTCTGCTTTCGGCCAAGGTCATGATCCCAGTGTCCTGGGATTGGGTCCCGCATCGGGCTCCCTGCTTGGCGGGGAGTCTGCTTCTCCCTCTCCCTGCTTGTGTTCTTTCTCTCTCTCTGATAGATAAATAAATAAAGTCTTTAAAAAAAATAATTCACTCTTAGTTAGATTAGTTAAGTTATAATTAACTCAATAATTATTATTAGAATGTCTGGTATGGGACTTCCGTTGATAGGTTTTATCAGATTTAGAAATTTCCTTTTCTGGTTCACCAGGAGTTGTTTTTTGTTTATGTTTATTTGTTTTAAGTAATTGCTACACCCAACGTGGGGCTCACACAACCCCGAGATCAAGAGTCCCAAGCTCTTCCAACTGAGCCTTCCAGGGGCCCCTCCTAGGAGTTTTTTTTTTTTTTTTTTTTAAGATTTAGTTATTTATTTGACAGAGAGAGAGAGCAAGAGAGGGAACACAACCAGGGGTGGTGGGGAGAGGGAGAAGCAGGCCTCCCGCTGAGCAGGGAGCCCGATGCGGGGCTCGATTCCAGGACCCTGGGATCATGACCCGAGCCGAAGGCAGACGCTTACGACTGAGCTACCCAGGCGCCCCCTAGGAGTTGTTTTTTTAGAAAATCACCAAGAGTGTTGAGTTTTATAAAAAAAATTTTCTGCGTCTACCAGGATGCTTATATGACTTTTCTCCCTTTTGGGTGTTAACCTGATGAACAACGCTGATCGGTTTTTGAATGCTAAGCCTCCCTTGCACTCTTAGAATAAACTCTACTTCCACCATTGTGTGTTAGTGTTTTTATGTATCATCAGATTTGATTTGCTGATACTTTATTTTGGGGGATGATGCTGTTCTGAAGTTTCTATGAGGCTGCTGCTGTTGATGATTTTACACAAGAAATCCTTTTCCATTGAAGAGACCTTAGACAGTATGTTGAAACAGAACACAAGAAGTTTATTTTTAAAACCCTTCATGTATAACCCAGATGTAACCACTGTGAGCATTTTGGGTCCAGGGTGATTCAAAAGGAATCGAACACTCACAAAAATAACTGGGTCCCATGGGGATATATAATCAAACCAATTTCTAAAGAAACCATCATAGTTATTTCTCTGATCTTAGAAGCACTCGGTATGTGGCTCTGGGTCCCATGGTGCGTATGATCCATTGTCTCATTTCCCAGAGGCTTCTTTTGTGAATTACCACCAGTGGCCTCCTTTGACATGCTGCTTTGTCTCCCGCAGGCTGTGGAAAAAGTGGTACAAACATAGCTTCTTGATATATCCGCCCCCCAGAAAAACTCACGCAGTGTCACTAATTTCTTTATGGTGTGTGATTATTTTTCAGGCACCCTAATTGTTTCTGCCTTACGGTTTTCTGTGAACACATGTGTCTGTATTTCCTCAGCAACAATGAGTTCATAACCATATGTTGTTGGCTGTTGTTTTTTGTTTTGTTTTGTTTTGTTTTTAAACATGTTAGATATTCATTAATTACATTTGTGATTTCTTTTTTTTTTTTTAAAGATTTTTATTTATTTATTTGACAGAGAGAGACACAGTCAGAGAAGGAACACAAGCAGGGGGAGTGGGAGAGGGAGAAGCAGGCTTCCCGCGGAGCAGGGAGCCCGATGCGGGGCTCCATCCCAGGACCCTGGGATCATGACCTGAGCCGAAGGCAGACGCTTAACGACTGAGCCACCCAGGTGCCCCGGCTGTTGTTTTTTTGTTTTTGTTTTTTTTATGAACAACTTATAGGAAACATTTATGTTTTCTTTTGGAGACTCAACACTAAGAAAAGAGGTTTTTTTTGTTTGTTTGTTTTTAGAGAAAGAGAAAGAGCACACACGAGCTGTGGGGAGGGGCAGAGGGAGAGGGAGAGAGAGAATCTCAAGCAGGCTCCATGCCCAGTGTGGAGCCCAGTGCCGGGCTCGATTTCATGACCCTGAGATCATGAGCTGCACCACAATCAAGAGTCAGTTGCTTAACTGACTGAGCCACCCAGGCACCCCAAGAAAAAAGATAGTTTTACCCAACTTGGCACAAAGTTCACATCATGCTGTGTCTGCACAGGCTTTCCTTAACACCATGTTTGGAGACACCCATCTGAGCCTCACCAGCAACATGGCGGCCAAGAAGATGTTACTTTATTTCCACAACGAGCTTTTCAGACAGCCTTTCTATAGCTCGTCCCGAAAATTGCCCTCTTCCTGTTCTCAGGCTTGTCCTAGAACCTACTGGATAGTAATTAGATCCAACTTGTGTCCCATCATTTTTGTGATTGATTTGCCTTCTCAGATTCCTGATGTATCCTGATTCCTGATGTATCATTGTTAGATAAGTTACTGTTACACAATCCACTGAGCCACCCAGGAACTGAGATCCTGCCTGTTTTCTACATCAGTAAAAATGTGGTTCGACACCATCGTTTTTAATAGCTGCATGGTATTCTGTTGTATAGTTGGGCCATAATTTACCCAGTTCTGTGCTGTGGGACACTTAGGCTGTTGGAAATCTTGAAGTGGATTTTTAAAAAAAACTTCGTATTCACAAGCAGTGGTGGAGGGAATGGTGTAATCCCATTACTGACCACCCTCCTTCAGAATCACCAATTCGCTGCCAATCCTGTACTCTCTGTACCCTCCATGTGCACCTTTGGAGTGGGTTAATTTGAAGCAAATTCAAGACATTCTGTCGTTTCATACATAAATATTTCAAAATGTATTCCTAAAAGATAACAGTCCTTTACAAAATCCATAATAGTAGAAAAATCAATACTAATGCCTTAATACCTCCCACCCTGCAGCTGGTATTCCCATTTCCTATTACTTCATGGGTTTTTGTTTATTGGAATCAAAATCTGAATAAATTCCACCTATCGCAACTGGTTGATAGGTCTCTCAAGTTTATTTTAATCTGTTTCCCCTTCCCTTTTTGGCTTGCTGTTCGTTGAGAAACACATTCTGTAGAGTCTCCTCCATCTGTGGTTTGTGGATTGCGCCCCTGTGGTAGTTCT